CACACACACACACACACACACACACACACAACCGTCGCGGCCTGGGCGGACCCACCGCAAGGAGTGAAAGAAGTGAGAGAGACACAACATGCCGCGGCACCTGTTTTCCTCTGCGATGCTGTTCCTCCTTCTTTGCGTGCTGTCGGCGTGCATAAGCAGCCAAGCTGCTGAGGTTGCCTCGCTGAGTGAGCCAGCCGGTTCTTTTTTTTGCTGGAAGGAAGTCTCGGCTGAGGAGGGAACGATTGACTCGCTGCGCGCTCCCGTCCTTCTACAAGTGAGTGGGGAACCGTTTCTCATCGCTGAGGCGCACTGCACGAAAGACAATACCGACACCGTTAGGGCCATCGTGTCGCAACTCATCACGGCAAGTGATGGCGCTGCGGGGGAAGCGTTGAAGGGTGCAAGCGTGGGGAAGCCGCAGGTTTTGGACAAATGCGCTGCAGCGGAGAAGAAAATAGATGTGAGCCGACCAACTGCGGTTGCGAAGGGCAATGATATTTACATGCTGCTGGGAAACCACGGCGGTGCACTGCCTGAGGCTGGCGCGAATAACACGGGGCTTTTGCTGGTGAAGGGAAGCGTCAGCGGTGAGAAAAAAATTGAGTGGAGTGCAAACTTTTTACTGAGCCGCACTGCTGCAATTGAGGAACACAAGTCCGTGTCGCGGCTGATTGGCGGCGGTGGGGGCGGTGTTTTAACGGCGGACGGCACGCTTGTCTTCCCGGTGCAGGCCACAAAGAGAAAGACGGGGGGGACCACTGAAAAGACCGTCTCGCTGGTCTTGTACTCCAGCGACCCTGAGACGGGGACTTGGCGGCTGTCGAAGGGGATGTCGGCGGAGGGCTGCGGTAGTCCCTCCGTCGTGGCGTGGGAGGGCAACAAACTTTTGATGATGGCCGCGTGCGAGGACGGCCGCCGCCGAGTGTACGAGTCGGATGATAAAGGGGAGACGTGGACGGAGGCGCTCGGGACGCTCTCGCGCGTGTGGGGCGGCGCACCTGCTGGCGCCGGGCCCGACGTTCGAAGTGGGTTCATCACTGCGACGATAGGGGGCAGTGGTGAGGGCAGGAGGGTGCTGCTCGTCACCCTGCCGGTGTATTCGGGGGACGGCGGAAATGGCCGACTCCACCTTTGGCTCACCGATACCGCCCACGTTGTCGATGCTGGACCGATAGCCACCGCGGGCGACGAAGATGATTCTGCCGCCGCCGTCGCTGCCAGTGCGCTGCTGCTGAAAGGTGGCACGGAGTTGATTGCAGTGTACGAGAAGCGGAAGAGTGAGGAAGCGCAAGCAGCCAGGCTTTTTGCGGCGCAACTCACTGCGCAGCTGGAGCGAGTAAAGGAGGTGGTGGAAACTTGGAAGGCGGTGGACGCACGTGTCGGGCGGCTGTGCCCTTCCTCAGCGGCTGCTGCGAGTGGCGGGGCGTGCGGCCTTTTTGTGCCCACGGCCGGGCTGGTTGGGTATTTGGCTGGCACCGTCACTGGGACTGCGTGGGTGGACGAGTACCTCGGCGTGAACGCGACTGTGACGGGCACTGTGGAGGTTACTGCCAGCGGCGTGACGTTCAAAGGCCGTGGCTCATGGGCCGAGTGGCCCGTGGCCAAAGGGGGGCAGGTGCAGCCGTACCATTTCGCAAACTACAACTTCACCCTTGCGGCGACGGTGACGATCCACGCGGCGCCGAAGGGAGGCAGCATTCCTTTCTTGGGATTGAGTATGAGTGCCAAAGGCGGTGCCACGGCGCGCTGGGGCCTGTCCTACAACCATGACGATGAGCCGGGTGAGTTGTGCGGGGACGCAGCGGGCGGCCCAGACACCGGCACGTGCGAGACAAACAAAAAATACAACGTGGCCATTGTGCGCCAGGGCGGCAGCCAGGGATTTATGTACATTGACGGCGTGCCTGTTGGAGGCTCGCAGCCGGAGCAGCGGTGCGGAACGCAGCCGTGCACGATCTCGCACTTCTACATTGGCGGGGACGGCGGCGGCGCGGCAGATGCAGCGGGCCAAGACAGCCGTGTGACGGTGACGAACGTCCTGCTGTACAACCGCCCGCTGGATGCAGATGAGATCGGCGCCCTTCACAATAAAACCGTCCCCGCCGCAATGCAGAAAGAACCGACACTACAGCCGGAGGTTCCTGCTCCAAGCGAAGAAGAGCCCAGTAAATGTGCGGGGGCCACTTTGCCTGCGACGCAACTTGAGTCGGAAGCTGCACACTTGAGTTTTCCTGGCAACACGGCGCCAACGGGACACGGGTCCTCGCTGGGGCAGACTCCGGACATGAGCAAGGAGGGCGGCAAGGGCGCTCCGCCAAGGCCCGCAGCGGCTGCTTCATCGACAGTCAGCGCCAACGTCTCCAAGGAGAAGTCAGATCCTCCTGCCGTTGAAGGAGCCAGGCAACCTCAGCCGAGGGAATTGGCTGCCTCTGCCGAAGAGGAGACAGTGGCGCACACGGGCAGCGTGAGTTCTGCTGAGAACGAGGCGACGACATCGAAGGAGGCGGCTCCCGTCTCTCAAGGCCAAGGCGGTGTGTCGTCGTCGGACGCAGCCGCTCCCGCTGGGGCGGCACAGGAGGGGAGCCGCGCAGGAGCAACGGATGCAGGTGGCGCTGCTGTTCACGGCGGTGCGGCAAGGACGGCGGTGAGGCCGCACCGTCAAGCCTGTAGGCGCCGTGGCAGCAAAGGATGCGGCATCCGTCCCCGC